AACAGCGCGCGCGTGCACCGTAATTTGTCCGATGGCTATTATATCGTACAGAAACTGGACGTCTGCGCAACATGTGCGAAGGATCGGCGTACTATAAATAAGACAGGTTAAGAAAGTCTGTCAAATAGGCTTCGATCGAAGAAAACCCACAACGTGGTCCCCATACCTGCATCGACAGATGTTATCGCGATCAATCTCGAGTCGTTTTAAATGAACATGTGCTGCCGTTTTCGGGGAAATCTCGTCTCGCACAGAAACTAGCGTAGAGCTTCAAATCAAATCATGAGTCCGAGCGTAATTTCTAAAACGATTTGTCTGTTCAGGCGATAATTTTATACGTGTCCGGGCTGAATGCACCTCCAGTACTAATCTCGATACGCCTCCACGCTGCTTATCGGTTTCGAGAAACGTTTCTCGAAGATCACCATACCTCTTAGGAACTTAGTCCTCAGAACAGTAGGTCGTGTTGATTGTGTTCGTAACTTATGATTAGAAAAGAAAGAGGAAGAAAAATCTAATTTAACTAAACAGGGGAATATGTGGTTCACAATCAAAGAACGTCTTTAGAATTTAATTTGTTTTAATTACAGAAAGTGTGATACCTGGCCGGCATAAAAAAAACCCCAGTTACACGTGAGGAAAAAAGTCATTCAGGTGCGCGTACAAAACAGATTGCTTACATACTATAAGACGGTTAATTATACGTGGCTCACTAGCAATGATAACGTCGCTTGCACTCGCTGTGCGAAAGGAGGAAGATGTCTCCTAGGGACACGCAGCACCAACGTCTTGGACGAGGGCACAGCCCTTACTACGTAGACGAGGTGAGCCGGTCTGTCCAAGATAACAGCGTTGCTCAAGAAGCAGAGACCCTTCAGAGGATATCGCACCTATTCTCAGCTAGGCCCGTGTCGCCGAATAACCCTCGCGTCGTTGATATGGTGTTGCATTAAGTGGTGATCACATCGTCAAACATTCACTCACACTCATAGGTAAACACTTGACCTTAACACAATTATACTGTTTATCGCAATGAATCCGCGTTACAAAATTTTCACGGGCACGTTCAAATAAGAGTCCAGAAAAAAAACTCGGATGACGCAGCGCGAACGCAACAGCTTAGAACTCCGACACGAGTAGTCGCTAAAGACAAACTGACTCACAAATTTTCAGCAAGAAAAGACGAAAGAAACACCCTCATGTAGTTAAGCTTCAAGGGAGGGGAACCAATCAGAGTGACTAGGAAGGGATGCGGCTCTTGAAAGATAGCGGCTACCTAAACGCGGTCTAATTAGCGCGCCGTCCCTCTCCCTGGTATGGCGCGCGCCTTAGTAGAGGGAAAGTTTCGGATTTCCCCGTACGTGCCGGAGGATGAGTCGAGAGAAACTCAACTGGGCGTAATCTTTCAACCCAGGGCTGATGCACACGCGAGGCGCACATGCTGCGAACACTTTCAGCCCAGGGACTAAAGCGCACGTGAAGCACACATGCCGCGAACAGATCGCCTACTACGGGAAGGGGTGGCTGAAAGATCGATCCTTGGTTCGAAAGGCTGTGTGGCTCGAAAGCGGCTGAGAGAGGTAGAGATCGAAAGAGCCGCCGGCGGGGCCTAATAAAATAAATTATGCCTAATAATTCGAACCCCTCGAGCGAACTTCCAACAGAGCGGAAGAAAAAAAACCGGGGATGGCGCGCGGGCACTGGCGTTGTCGCTATTCACCAACAGTTTCATGGCCTCTTTTCATCTGAACAGACAGGTCGTTCTGTGAATGTCAGTCATCATTTCTGCACCAGCAAAGCAAACTCGAGTGAATGTAATAAATAGGCTCCCCCTGCTGCAAATTCCACCGTGAGGCAGGCTACACCAATAACCAATCGTATCGGGAGGTCATCACTGCCTCCAGAGATTTTCACAGCTAGCTAGGGGCATTCCGATGGCCCATGGAATACCATCACAATCAAAGAGCGTTCAGCGGTCATCGACCGCCGATCTGCCCATCCAATTGAAGTAGAGATAATCATCACCGCCAACTCCGCGGCCACGAGAAGATATCCCGACAATGAAGACAACACGAGTGTAGTGACAGCTGCCAGAAACCGAGGTATCGTAGCGGAAGAGAATATCGCTGAGACGAACGCGGCGCAAAACGCACTCATGATGTTATCGGACACGTTGATAGAAACAATGCGGGTACTACGCGAAGGCGCCACTAGCAATGGATCCATTAAAAAAAACGTACTTTGATTCAGCTTCTAACTTCACTGATCATAGAAATACCAATGGGTTTTGGAAAAAAAGATTAGGTGAGAAGAAAGTCAGGTCAATGCACGAGGTAGAATAATCTGAGTTTTCCAGAGTGAAATAAGTAGGACTATTGTCGTTCAATAGGCAAATATTTGCATAATCTAAATTGTCAACAAATATTGCCATTAGGGCAATACTTATTGCTACTCCAAAGTGGGTGATGTGCATTCAAATCTCCTCCTACAATGAAGTCATGATTAATAACTGAGTTTATAAAGCTGTCCACTCATTGGTAGTTAGGGTATTTTGCGCTTTGTCTATTTGTTGTGGTTTGTAACATGCCGTAATTAGTAATTTATCCGAATGTATTTTTACTATCACAGAACCAGTTTCAAGTACTTTACCCGTATAATTAATATCTTTTATATCATAAAATAGATTCTCTTTTGAAAGAATGGCTATACCGCCATCTTTGCCAATTTGTCTATCAAATCTAATAGTGTTAAATCCTATCAACTTGTACTTGATAACTTCGTTTGGTACAACACTACCTTCAAAATCAATCAGGATAGGCGTAGTTGGAGACCAAATTGGTTCACTTTCTGATTACAGCTTCACTTTTCTCATCAGTCTAATAACCTGAGAAAGTTTGACTTTGCTCTGAATGCCCTTTTTCAAGCTTTCGACGTCAATGACAACGGAAATATCCTTGATCATACCCTTGCGAGTGTTTTTGAATCCAGGAATGTAAGTAGATAGCCCTTTGGATTAAAAACAATCATTGTATAATGCACGATTAGCTTCATTTCTATCCCTAAATATAATAATTCTTTTCGATCTTACGTCTCTCTTCATTTCAATGATTGATTTAAAATTACCATGTGTGGCAATTCCAATCTTAAAATTACTGAAAGATTTATTCTCACTATTGCTTTCCTGTTTTAACTATACATAGCAAGGACCCTCGTAATTATCACTGTATATCCTGTAGGTAAATCATTAGTAATTGATGGTAAATTAGATTGTATTATGTTCGAGCATCATCCGTGACGTCGCCTTTGTTCATACGTTTGTCTCTCACTTTACTTTTCTCCGAATTCACTGGCTCGGATGATTCAAAATCATTTCCTTCATCCAGGCTTCTCTTTAGATTTGGAGACTGATTTTTATAGTATTCATCTATAATTATATCATTTCTAGGTTTCGGTATTAGGCCTCCTTCGGCTATCTTGAAATAGAGAACGCCTTCCTGGTAAATCGGTAGCAAAGAAATGTTAATTTACGCACAATAAGTCGTATATATTATACTTAATCTTGTAAATGAAAAACTTCCTCCAAAGGCAAGCAAATCAGGCCAATCACCTGGAGATTAGGCCGGTCCTCACAATACTCAATACTCACATACGAGAGAGAAGGTAAAAGCACGTACTCGCTCGTTCAAGCTCAATCCCAGATGCTTTTCTTCTGGTTGTCTAAAAAAGTGGTGTTACCTGACAGCAAATTGTGGTACTACATATAAAATGGCTACATGTAAAATATTTACGATTAAGTCTACTCATATAATTATAATCGAACTTCACTAAGTTCGTTTGATCATCAATTATTTCTTACATCATATCTTATTTTTCTTGAATTATATTATTAACTTTCTTCTATTACTATGCAGATATTGACAAGGATGGTGTGTCTAGTAAGACGGTTTCCTATCCAATGGTACGAATCAATAATAATTTGTTTCACACGCAATCCACATTTACGAATTGTTAACGTTAAACTGATGTTTTTCATCGATTGAATAGTATTATTATGTTACCGTAAATAAATATATTATATGAAACTTCAGGTTTTTTGATAAAACGATTTACGGATTAGATACGTATCTTATGAACATAATGCAACTCACTTTATAAATCTTATGCAAGTTCTTTACTTTATCATTGGATACTTATGAAACCATTTAATATAACATGTCCAGTGGGATAAAATTTTTTATGTTCATGATCCGCAGATGTATCACTGATATTACAAAAATAATTGAACATAGAAGAATTGAGGATTACACAAACTAAAAAGTTATATCTGTAAAGCACGGTGTACAATACAACTAAATTAGAAAATTTTAAATTTTATCAAATCTACATTTCTTTTACCCATGCATTGAGTCCATACTATTTTTATTTAGTAAAATTTTACCTTTCTAAAAATACGCTTTATATGGAGAAGATATTTTACTCACTAGTAAAAGATCGTAAACATTCATTTATACTCGTATATGTCGCCGAAGCATTTTTAGGTATTTTACTAAATAGCTGAGTATTAAGAGAAATGACGGACATAGTACTGGTAAATAGAATGTAGTCTATTAATTTTCAAGAATTTTTTTTTGTAAACATAAAATGAAAAATTAATTGATTTTTGTCCACCATATGTCTCGCAGCAACTAATGACAATTAGTAACTTTTCTCCCAAAGAAAGCCAAGTTCAACTCTTTATTTTTTTACATCGAATTCACGATTGAAGTTTAACAATAATATTTAGTAAGTAGTTAAATATATATGGATATATATTTAATATTTCTATATAACAATCTCGATTGAGCAGATTGAGTATATACGATATATACATGAATTTTCTTGAAGGTACAGATATCGTGTTACCACGTGTAACAGGATAGTTACAAACATATTTAAAAATCTTTGACGATTGAACATTGACGCTATCCATATAGATTAGGAATGAGAAATAATAAGACTTGACAAAAATTGATTATTTATTGGATTAGTTAATTATTATTAGTTTGAGTCTTGATGAGTAAATATTCATTTGAATTTGAAATTTACTAACAATTATAAGTATTCTTATTAAAACAAGTTACAAAATGGATCACTTAACGAAAAGATTTACCCAAGTCACAATGTATAATTAACTAGATTTTGAATAAATCTATGAATTAGATTTGGATATTTATCGATAAAAATTAATTTTTTTTCACACTATTATAGAATATTCTTCGCTATTTAAGTGACAATGATAGTTAATTTTCAAGCTTTCAAAAATTCAAAATATTGCTATATTATAAGGTAACAGCATATTGAAAAATATTAAAAATAAAAGGAATATGTCTTCGAAAAATCGTTTCAAATAAAAAAAAGCGTCTTATTAACTTGTCGAATCGGCTAACGCGCTGGTGAGTTCGTGTTCCAGCAGTCTTGAATCATAAATCCCAACACATTCATTATCTGAAAAGTTTAACATTATTATCCAAATTCAAAATTTGAATAGTATAATAAGATTGTCTTTTTCAAAAGACAATCTCAAACATATCAGAAACGTATGCCAATGATCAGAAATTTCAGACTTTCGATCAACGGCAATTAATTCGCGCATCTCCTCTCGACTTATCTACATTCGAATTTTTATTATGAAAGCTGAAAGCATATAATCGATTCACTGAATTAATACAATTAACCAATAATGAATGATACATGCTTTGAGGCACCTTGCTTCAATTCGAGATTACCTGATCCCGAACAGTTCGCCAAACTTTAATCGTTGGGGCGTTGCTGCAAAGAATTGTATCGAAATTAAGCAATAAAAAACTGAGAGATTTCTAGTTGACACGCAAACCATATTACCGTTAATGAAGGACGTGGTGCTTTGTGTAATTAGCTGGGCTAGTCTATCGTTGATAGGAGTAATTTCAAGACTTCAACGTTAGCTCCTCTAATAAAGTGGGCTTGGTGTTGCTATTCATACATGCTGTTCTACTTCTCGCATCGTTACCACTTGCGGAACCGCTTCTTCTGCCTCATACGCTCGTCTGTGTCGGTTAATTCTCCAACGTGCATATCTGATGCGTATCTCCCCCCACACAAATACATGGCAAAATCCGTAAAGAAAAAGTGAACAGAAGGGTAAACCTAATGCTAAATACGCCAACAATACTAATACCCATTGGCCGGTAGTAGTATACCAAAAACCTTCGACGTCTAATCAAATAAAAATTATTTAATGATTATCAGTTGTAATATAGTATATATTATTGAATAAAAACAAATTGATGTTTACGAGGTTCAGATAATGTAGGCAATTCATGTAGGCTAGGACGTAGACTAGGAAAATCGCCATTATTGCAAAAATTTCCTACACAACATTCAGAATTATAATTGGCGTAATCTTTTATACCACTACAAACATCATGGAATTGTAGCGTCGTGTTGATGCATCCACGAGTATATAGCACGTGGCTCATGAATTTTCCAATGCTATCTTTGAAGCACTAAAATGTCGAAAAGGTTTATAGTGTATTTGTTAATTTAAGACATATATAATTGGCAGGTGAAGAAATTGAGATCTTTTACTTACATTCATTACCGTTTGGCAAACTTCCATTTCACTTTCCGGTACATTGCATCCATCATCGGCACATTGATGGCACATAAAAGGTTGCGTCATAATTGTCCTTTTCTATACACAGAATAAACTATAATATTCAATAAATTTGAGATTCTAGTTTCAATCCTAAATGAAATAATTATTTAATATTAGTAAGATGACGTTGATAGCGTAATAACATTTATAAATTCCACAAACCGGTCTAGATATTTTCAAACTAGAATAATGTTCGATTTGCCACAACACTTATACGCAGATGGAAGGAGAATGAAGCAGATTTAACAGAATGATCAACAGCTTGATTTTAACAGTAATATTTCCGGCTTATAGTAGGATTTCGCAAGCTTATGTACGACCTGCTAAACAAGATTTTGACGTATTACATTTCGCCGATGATGCACTTCAGTTTCAACTGGAATTAAAGACCTTTGAGAGTCTATTGAAAATCTTGTTTATTCCGTTGATGGAATTTTGACGTCTAGTGGTACCGTACCTGTGAATATGTCTATCTTTTGTAATAGATTTATTAACATGCCTTGTATATTTCTTACAACTTGAATTTGATGAGAGAAATACAAACGAATCGATGCAAGTACAATTCCGTAGTGAAATAGTGAAAAAGATATATCTAATTTTTGAAAAATATGAGATATGATAATGTGTATACCAATACTTATCTTTCTGTATTAAGTAATTTATCAAACTTTAAGAAAATGTAAAGCTATGACAAATGTTTAATAATTAAATTTCTAAAAACCAACTTTTTTTGAACATGTTTTAAATAATATGATATCGATAAAAATATAAACACTAACGATTCAAATGGAAATGTAGAAAGGCGTTTCCAGACTTTCAAGTTTAGACTAGAATTATGTAGATTTTTCGGAGAAAGCTCGGCAAGCTCCGCGCGATGCTCTTTCCCGTCATTTTCGTAATAGCAGCCTTCTCGAAGCTATAGCTATCTAAAATATTATTTGAGTAGTCACATTACAAATATTACATGATCATTTGCTCTGTGTATTAAAGATGAACGATGATCTAGAACCTAGCTGCCGAAGGTCAATCCATATATGTAAATAAAGATTCAGTAAACTCGATTCTAGTGGTTTTAAATGAAATAGATTTAAATGTTTTGTCTTACAAGCAGCTATTCCGGAAGCCTAAAACTGAATATGGCAATTATGTAAGGAGACATAATTATTGTCGATAGTAGCCAACTTCCATCGTTGTAAATGGCTGACTAAATATCCTTATTAAATGTAGTAGTACAAACTTATAATAAGCTGTGCAGAAACAATATGACAACTTGACAGTTGTTTCGATTATTCTGTATATTTGTTTGAAGATTAAATTGATGACGTATAAAAAATAAAAGGCATTTGAAATAAGAATTTCTTGATATTGTATCAATTTGTAGGTATAAATATATTTTTCTTTCTTATGATGCTAATGATGGAATCAATAGAGTAATTAAACGTCGCTTTAAGATAATAAATGGATTGATGGAAAGTCAATAATATCTTATTCTTTAAACAGATATCTTTTTATCGCGTGTAACAATGCTCATGTAAGTAATATAGTCACAAGCATGTTTAAAATCATTGGTAATTGAACATTGATGCTATCCAAGTAAATTAGAAAAAGAAGTTAGTACAAATTAAGAGTTTGATGACTATATGAGAAATTGAAATTAAAATTGTTTTGAAATTTTGTTGGAAGGGAGAGAATGTGAATAAAATTAAATGGAGAAAATCATATTTTTAGTTTCTGCAATATAGTAATATAGTTACAACGATGATTAAAAATCATTCATGATTGAAAGAAAGTCGAAGAAAGTGATTATTTGTTTGCTTACATGATTATTATTATTTTGTATCTTGACGAATGAATATTCATTTGAATTTGGTATTGGCTAACTCATGGTCTTATTACAATAAGTTACATAATAAATCACTCAACGCAAAAGGATTTACGCAAGTCACAATGTATATTCAGTTAGATTTTGATCATTAACGAATAAACGTATAAACTAGATTCGCACATTTATCGATAAAAATTATTTTTTTTTTCTAAATTATTGCTATTATTCACTGTTTAGTAGATCTAGTTTGAATAATAAATTGGAATATGAATTTCGACATTACAAAATTCAAAATATTGTTAAGTTTTAAGGCTACAGTATATTGAAAAATATTAAAATTAAATGGAATATATCTTTAAAAAATCATTTCAACTAAAAAAAGAAAAGGTCTTGTTAACTTGTCCAATTGGCCATTACGCTGATAAGTTCGTTATCCAATAGTTTTGAATCTGAGATTTCAATGACTTCTGAAAAATCAAACATTATCTAAGTTAAAAATTTAAATCGCATAATACTATAGTCTTGCAGCATACCGGATTCATATGCCAATGATCGGGAATTTCAGGCCTTAGATTATCGTCAATTAATTTTCGCGTCTTCTTGGTTGTCAGCTCTGGTATGCTATTGACTAGTTAATCGGAAAACGGCACCATATCTCGAACTGCCATCTACGCACATACGATATATCTCCTAGAATATAAGGCTCATATAAACCATATCATCGGTTCATCGTATTATTAAAACTGACCAATGATAAATGAGATATACTTTGAAAAAGTACCTTGATTCAGTAAGGCAATACCTATTAGTCTGAATCGTCTGCCAAACTTTGATCGATGCGACGTTCCTGCAGAGAATCATTTTGAAATAAATCACAAATAAATATGAATTGTTTCCAGTTGATAAACGGACTATACTACCATTAATAAAGGACTTGATACTTCGTATAATTAGCTGGACTATATTATTTTTGACAGGAGCGACTTTGGAACGTTAACGTCAGGTCTTCTCTAAGGGATGATCCTGGCGTTTCCGTTCATATGCTGAAATCGCATCATTTCTAAAGGTATTTCGTTCGGTTGTCTTGGTCGCGGTTGTCTAAGGACATGTCTCCCACGATAAAGTAACATAATAGAAGCTATGACGAATGAGATAAACAATGCAATTAATACTGCTATCAATATATACATTATAAAATAAATCCAGTGTCCGTCACTAACTGTATTAATCGTTGATAAAAAAAATATTCAATTAATATTACTTATAATATAGTATAGATTTATTGAAAGAAAAAAAGTTGATGCTTACGATGATCACTTAGTGTAGGAAATTCATCGCTATTGCAGAATTCTTTGTCACAGCATGTATAACGATAATCGTTGTGAACCACCTGTGTTAAATTACTACAAATCTGTTGGTTATGTTCTGGTGTAAAGACGCATCCACGAGAATGTAGTATGTTGCCTACGGAATCTCTAAGGGAAGATCTCCAGCACTAAAATTCCGAAAATTTTTGTTGCGTAATTTTATTTATGAAATATAAATGATTGGAAAATTGAGTGATTGCTATAAATCATTTACGTTAAGTTCAGACTTGCAAATAGATAATTGATTGAATCGCACATCACACTCATCATGGATACACTCATAACATTGAAACATACGTTGCGTCATAATTCTCGTTTTGCGTACACTGAATGAACTAATATTGAAGAAAAGTTGAAGATTCTAACTTCAGTCCTAAATGAAATATAGTTACTTAACATTTGAATATGGCGTTAATAACACGATAGTATTTTAGAATCCCACAAACCGTTCTAAATATTTTCAAATTAGTGGAACCTTGATCTATCTTGCCATCGCTAGTGTCAATATATCTCTTTTTCAGTTAAAAATAAAAATAAACTATTCGCGAAGTTAATGTTCAACCTGCGACAGCACTGCCACGTAGGTAGAACAATAATGCGGTAGATTCGGAGGAGTCTAAATCAGCAGCTATGATTTTAAGAAGTATATCAATTTCGCGTTTAAAGTAAGACTTAATAAGCTTATATACGACAGGATAAACAAGATTTCGACGTATTACACTCGACCGATGATGTGCTTGAACTTCGAGTGGAGGTAAAGTCCGTTGGAAGTCTATTGAAAATCTTGTTTATTTCATTGATGGATTTTTATGACTAATTGTATCTATAAATCTATCTAAGTCTTCGAATAGATTTATTGATATGGTATATAATATTATACATTTATTGAGATTTTGATCTGACAAGCGTGATCCATATGTATATATGAAAGTACAAAATTTGTGAATCTTATGTTATATTATTAGATTTAAAAAATTTTGAAAGTTATTTTTTGTTATTCTTTATTATTAAATTATTAACAATAATCAATGTGTTAATCTATTTTCTGTATATATTTTATGTTTAATAGTGTAAATAAGTTAAAGTTATTTATTTAGCCAATTACTGACCTTTCCTGAGGGTATTCGTTTTGCTCGGTGTTTTTGGAAGATCTAAAAATTTTAAAGTAATTTCAAACATTTTTTCTCGTACGTTTAAGCAATAATCATTAATTTCTACAGTAATATAAGGCATTTATTTTAATATCTATCTGTAAAATTAATTATAATTGATTATATTTTTTGTTGATAAGTTCATTTTTTTTATTTGTTTTTCCGTAAGGTATCCGTTTTGCCTGGGTCTATATAACTAGTATTTTTAATGTAGGAGGTTTGCAGAGGTTGGAAACCACTTAAAGAATCTAACATAACATATATTTCATGATCTTTAATATTGCTCGTTAAATCAGGTGCATAGCGGAGAGCAATGGATTCAGCCGTGTCTGGACAAAGACTGGGATTGTTAACAACTGTGTAATTAGTAATTTCTGTACCACAAGTGTAGACAGCAATTGCAACGATTCTGAAAACATAGTTGTTTAGGGGTACATTTGTTACCGCGGATCACACGTCAGTGTTAATGGACAATGACGTGGCGTAAATAGGAATTTGGTGCGTTCCTATAGTCTCTGCGATTCTCATGGTGGAAAGAATGCAGTTACCGATTAAGCATTAGAGCGAAATCGGCTTGTTTTTTAACATACATTAGAAAAATTTCGATTAATATTGAGAGAAGGATATCAATATTGATATTATTAAATGTTGTATGCACACCTAAGAAGATAGTCAACTCATATTTTTTTCGATAAACGCTTCCTCTACTTTAAGACTAACGCTCGTGAGGTTAGGTTATCTACACAAGATTTTTTTTGTCGAAAGCTATTTCTATTTTGAGGAATTAAATTACAGCTTTCAGTTCACTATGCCAGACGGTTTCTTTAACATTTTTTCAAATAATTTGCAGAAGCAAGTTAAAGCTATCGGACGCACGTTTTTACCGTCCGGTTCAGGAACGAGATGTATTTAAGCCTGATTTCAAGAAAGAGGGGATTGTTATTATTTTGGATCATTTGATTATATATGCAATTAAAGATTAGCTTAGATTTAATAGACAAGTTTTGTAAAAATAGAAAGTTAGTGCCATCCATGCCCGGAGATAACTGATTTTCTTCGAGTCAAGAGAAGTATTAAATTCTTGGAAGTTAAAAGAAGAGTAAAAGAATTCATTGAAACTGCACGGTGGCAGTCAAGTCGGATCTATTTAATCCCAGAATGGGGACAACTTATTTAATGCTGTTTCAGTTTTGCTATCATTTTGAAAATGTTCTGTCGTGCCGAGAAAAAGTTTTAGACCAGTCTTTCCTTTATAATTTCAGTTTTACGGTAGAAAGTAGCGTATCCTCAGCGTCCCACCAGACAAACTGGTCTCTGTATTTTGTTATTTTTATATATGAATGTTTTCCTAAGAGTATTAGTACGGAGAGCTTCGGTAACTAGATTAGTGAACTCAGAATTTTTTTCATTTGCTTTTAATTGGTTGTATTCGTGGGATAAGAAGATGAAATAATAGTTATCCAGGTAGTTTTGAAATAATGATCGCTTTCTTTTGCACGCTATCTTAATTTAAATGTTTTTTCCGCATATTGTTGTTTTTCTGTGTTTATACGTTATCAGTAATTAGGTAGTGATTAGTTCCTAGATTTCATCGCTTACTCGATAGTTCGTTTTAGTTTGCAATATTAGAAAGAAATTAAGAACTAAAGGTAAATTAAAGGAAGTTTATGTTATATAAGTTTTTGAATTTGTGTTTTATATAAATAAGTTTTGCTTTAATCTCAGTTCAAATTGTATTTGTAAGCATTGAAGTTGCCTATTAGTAATAGCAGTTATCGTCGTAGCTTATACATAATCTATTACGTGATGCCAAAGATGTTGAGTAAGCGTGCAAAAATAGAAATATATTTAATAAATCGTGTCTAAAAAATAAGAGTACGTGTTTTGATATTATGTTGGAATTATTAGTAGAAATCGAGAATTTGATGCCCGCCTATGACATTGAAATTAACATTGTTTTCTTAAAATTTCGTTGATAGAGAGAAAATACTTATTGAATAAAATAGAAAAAATTACGTTTTTAGTTTCTGTAGTATAGTAAAATAGTTACAAACATGTTTAATAATCATTAATGATGAAACATTGATACTATCCAATAAAATCAGGAAAAGACCAGCAAATAAATATCGATTAAGCTGATTATTTATTTCATTAGTTAATTATTATTATTAATTATTATTATTACTTTGAGTTTTGATGAATGGATATTCATTTAAATTTGACATTCACTAACAATTATGCGTATTCATATAGTTTTATATATTAAAATAGAGCACTTAATGCAGAGACTTTTATTAATTACAATGAATATGCCTGTGAATTAAACTCATACATTTATCGATAAAAATTAATTTTTTCCAGATTATACAGAATATTCTTCGTCATTTGGATTGTAATGATAGTTGATATTAAATTGGAATGTGTATTTCGGCTTTCAACAATTCAACATATTGCTATGTTATAAGGCACCGGTATATTAAAGAAATATTAAAAATAAAAGAAATGTTTCTTCAAAAAAATTGTTTCAAATAAAAAAGAAAGTGTCTTGTTAACTTGTCAAATTGGCCAACGCGTTGATGAGTTTGTTATTCAGCAGTCTTTTGAATTGTAGATCCCCAACACATTCATTATCTGAAAAGTTAAACATTATTATCTAAGTTAAAAATTTGAATAGCATAACAAGATTACCTTTTTTGTTTTAAAGAGGTACCTACTTGCTCAGTATGGACTCACAGATGCATAGACATGTCATCCAAGTCTATCTCGCTTGGTCGTCTTGGCGGCAATGCAAATCTCATGCGTTTCTCATAATTATATACTATTCTTACAACTCCGACTAGTAAGAGGAAACCTATGGCGATTAGCGTTGTGAAAAATAAATAATACATTAAGGAAACCTCTGAAACAATCATTAAATAGACGAAGGTTATTCAAATATTATTATTTATAATATAGTATAGATTTATTGAATGAAAATAAGTCGATACTTACGGCGTTCAGATAGTGTAGGAAATTCTCCTATATTACAGAAGTTTTCGTCACAGCATGTATAACGATAATCGACGTGCATCGCCTGTGTTATATTATTACAAATATCTTGGTTATGTTTCTGTGTAGAGACGCATCCGCGAGCAAATTGTACCTTGGTGTCGTTATATCGAAAAGAAGATTTCCAGCACTGAAATTCCGAAAATATTTGTTGTGTATTTGCAGAATTGAGATATATATTATTGAAAGATTAAGTAACTTATATATATATATATATATATATATATATATATATATATATATATATATATGTATATGTGATTTACGTTAATTGTAGAGTTGCAAGTAGACAAAAGTGCGGCTGGTACATTGCACGCTTCGCCGATACACTCAAAACAACGAAACGGAGTCTTTCTCATAATTGTTCTTCTACGTACACAGTATAAACTATAATATCAAATATTTTTAAGATCCTAGTTCCAGTCCTAAATGAAATAATTATTTAACATTAGTAACGTAGCGTTGATAGCACAATAGTATTTATGAATATCACACACCGTTTTAGCTATTTTCAATCTAGAATAATACTAGATCTGCTTCAGCACTTCTACGTAGATGGAACGAGAATGAGGTAGATTCGGCAGAAGAATCGGAAGCTTAATTTTGAAAGGTATAATTCCAGCTTATGATAAGACTTAGCAAGTTTATATATGATCCGCTAAACGAGATTTCGATGTATTACACCTCGCTCATGATATACTGGAGTTTCAATTGGAACTTAAGTTTGTTGGAAGCCTTGTTTATCCTATCAATGAATTCGTATCGTTAGTAGTATGTACTTGTCAATCTATTTATGCCTTGTAGTAGATTTATTAGGTAATAAACATTGTTATACATTTATTAAGATTTGGAATTGATAAATATAAGGCAAACAAATGAATAAAAAACAGTTCCGTATGACAATATTAAAAAGTTCACTTTTTGAAAAACTTGAGATGTAATATTCATTTCAATGTTATTACGTTCAAAATAACGCCGATGAATATATCTTTTTATATGAAGTAATTTGTTAAAATTTGTAAAAATATAAAATTATGACAAAATGTTTAATGATTCAATTTCTAAGAAACCTAATTTTTTGAACATATTCTTTCGAACGATAAGATATGATGTATAAAAATATGAATTTAAATGGTAATATCAAAAGATATTTTCAAGTAATTTACTTTCATTTTAAAAAATAGCACTATTATAGAAATTTATTGGAATAAAACTATATAGATTTTTAGCTAATTCCTACAAGCTTCGCTTGACGTTTTTATCCATTAATTTTGCAGTAGCAGCTTCCTCAAAGCCATAAATAAAAAAAAATACTTGAGCATTTACTCTGTAGATACTATGATCAGTTTCTGTATATTTTGAGAAAAAACTATCTAGCTATTTAAAGTTGACATTTTATATGCGGAAAACTTGTATTAATAAAACAGTTCCGCGTATTCTAACTTCATGAATTATTATATCGAAAACGGACATAAACAATCTCTGTAGTTCTCTTTAGCTATATAGGTCAATTTACTATTAAACGTTTATTCTACTCTTTTAATATAGATTACGATATTACAAAATTTTTTTCAATCTTACACGTTCAAATATCAGATTATGAGAATAATTCCAAAACATAATAATCTCTCGCTTATACCAAACGATTTATTCATTGCCAGTTTTATAAAATAAGTGTAAAAATAATAACATTGCAGCATACTTTTGTTATTTTCATTATTTTCAAAATTACCATGAAATGAATTTTTATTACTGAAATCACAACTCGAAATCACACCGACATGCATATTTGCTGTCATAACAGCATATCACGTGACTGTATTTTAGCCAATTAGATCACGAGTAGAATACTTTAATATGGCATCCATCACTTTTTCATAAGGGGATTGCATTTTTATTCGAGATAGATGTACAAGCTTGATATTGCATCTCCACCAATTATATCGTTATTAACCTACGTAGGAATTTTGCTACATGTAAAAAAGATTCAATAAATTTGCACCTAGTGATATCACCTAAAACAGATTTGCATTTCTTGCCTGACGATTTAAGATTTGGACTTGATATATAGTTGTCATATATATATATATATATATATATATATATATATATATATGACAATTATATAACAAGATCAGAATCATTGTTTATAATAGTACTATTTCTATCTTTAAAAAGTGTTTAAATTTTACTTTTGCTTTTCAATTTTTATTTGTTGAATTCATTTTCTTTTCACTCCCATGAAAACAGAGTGAACGAAGTTTTATCAGTAAACATTTACCTTTGTGCATCGGTGTTGATGGCTTCTTAAAAAATTGATGGAATTCTTTTGTACTGCTATTTTATGAGTAAAAGATAAATATATAGAAATTTTTACAACTACTTATGATATTTTACTTATATTTAGGTGGTAATTCGTGGGAGGAAATATGTCTCAAACACTATATTAATAGACTTACCTGCTGTAAGTGACGAGTTCTCAGGTAGACTTGGAAGTGTCATAACTTCAGGAATAATGGGATTGAGCTTAATGCTACAATCTAAAATACAACTCTCAGGCAAGACTATTCTAGAGAACCAATGTATATTAGAGCATATGGTAAGACAGAATACTATGTAATTGGCTATGAAACACCCCACGAAAGCGAAAGTGCCGTTAACGTGAATAATACGCCCCAAAGCGAGAACGCGACGAGTTCGAGCCACCCCCGTCGCACCCCTTCCAATCACCCCGATAAGACCCCGATAATAGCCCAACGAATAGTACGGTAAAGCCCCTGCGGGGACGACCTTGCAAGAATGCGCTGACTATTCGGGCCCATCGTACCAACAAAGTCCACGTGTCTCCCCTCCCGTCGTCATGAAAAGGAAGAGAGGGAGACTCTCGAAAACACCGACCGTTGATGAATGATGCCCTGCGAACGAAGGGCCTGAGAGACCGACGCAAAGGACCCGGCCTTCAATCCCAGCGACGAAGGTCGTGGGCAGCCGAACAGGCGCCCACCTTCGATATCAAAAAGAAAAGATTACCGGTATTGACATGTAGAAATATTACAGGATGAAGAAGATCACGCAGGAGCAGTTCGAGCAAGTGGCGGCCGCCCTTATAGGATTGGATTTGGGCCCCGTCGTCAACGGAGTAGTACACGCCGCACTCCACCTCATTAAAGAAACAAGAAAAGAGGAGGAACAGGCACGAGCACGAGCTCGTGAGAGCTAAAGCCACGCCGGAGACGTAAAAAATTGTTTTTCTGATTTCACACGATCGAGCGTTTAGGAATTCGACGGAGTTTTGATTTTTGTCGACGGTCGCGTAAGTGTAATTAGAGCTCTTGTTTCTACGATCGGGTGAGAATTTTTCTTCCGTTCCCACATTTTCTGCCTACTTGGCCGAGTGGTATCGGCAACGTGATTCTTTTTAAAAAAATTCGAAATTGAACACGGGTTAGCAAAATTTTTTTTGGAGTATTATTTTACGTATGATCATTTGAAATTCAATGTGCGCGTTTGCAAAATATTTCTTTTTGTGAAATAGTCGGATTTTTTTTATTTTGTGTGTCCGTCGTAATAAAGAATTAATACTTCGTATTATACTATATAATCCTTTGTTGAAATTTTCCTTAATTATTCTTATTTTTATTATTTTTATTTAATACTTATAAGAATCTATAGATTATTGTGAAATCAATTTTGTAGCTAGAAGCAAGTAAAAATAACTCTAATTTAAAATTTTGTATAATAACTGTGAAGCGGTAATTTTGAACTTGCTTCGGCAATATGTCAAATTTGCTGCTTTATAATAATAAAACTTGTTCGATTGCAATTTGCGCACGTTGCTCGATTAAGTTCAAAATTATCGCTTTGTATTAAAAGTTATTATATAAAATTGTAAATCAAGTTAATGTTATAAGTTAATAAAACCATTAACAGTAGATGTATTACGTATATCAACGTAGTGTCATATATAACTAGGTGTCGGTATTACTGACGTACTTGACGAACATACTATAGCGTTAGAAAAATTTGTTTAATCTTGAGGAAAATAAAGTAACACTACAGAAATCCTTTTTTATACATATTTTTTATGCACAACTTTCGATCTTAATAATGCTTCGATCGAATTGAAAAATTTTTCAGTTAATAGATGATAATCTAGACTTTCATTTCAACTGATAGAGAAATCGATATCATACAGTGGAAAGCGAGAAAAATGTCGAATAATTTTTAGTCACTCGGAATCTCATTACTTTCAATCAATAAAATATGGTAAATTATTATTGGAGATCACATGTAATTAAATGGGAATAATATTGGTGTTTTTATCAAAGATAAACTTATATCGTTTCTATATGAATTTCATAAAGATACGACTATATTAAAGAGCAAGATAAAAAAAAACATTATTACAAGAACTTAATTAGAAATTTACTATTAAAAGATATTATTTTAAGAATCGTTTTTATAAATGAAAGATGATAAAAGGTGGCTATGATTAAAAGCCATGACAAAATATCATTAGTACATGATCCTAATAAACAGGTTAGTATTTCGATAAAATATAGTAAATTATAGAAGGTCGAGTGACATTGAATAGTATTTGTTCGACAATAATAATTCAGCCAAATTACTTTATGTTTATACCTTCGTATATAGCACTCCACCAAATCAGTGAGATTTACGTAAAGAATGTACACTGTATTATATTTATATTTTTGTTATTTGGTAAATGTTCATAATGTTTATTATACATGTATAAAAATTTTGAGAACTTTTGAGAATGCACAACTTGATATTTATTTATATAACTAGAGATAATTAATTAACCAAATGAATTTTTTTCACTTTGACTGAAATTTTTAATGTTTTATCAATTTTGTAATATCTGTTATTATATATTTCAATTGTTTTTTATTATATAAATATAAATTGAAAAACATTCCTACTATTTCGAAAGAAGCAGCCAGCAGCGTTTTACGTCTATTTTGCACGTGATGATTTAATTGATGATTGCTTAATTATTAATTAATGTAATTGTTACTTATGGATTAACGAAATATTAATTTTTACATATACTAGCTTCAAGATACATGTGTGATGTGGTGATCTCAATAAATATTCTCAAATAATTATATAACAATATATTATTATAAAAATCCAAATCACACATCAAACACAACAATTATTTTACTCATAATCAACAATAACCAACATCAGTATGAAATACTATAGTTTCTAAAATCTTAAGCGGAAGTAACATTGATTCATCTGAACACTAATGATGGATTACATGAAATAGTTTTCATCGCTTCAATTTCATTCGAGATTGCAATCACTTTAATATAATTCTTTTGGCAATAATAATTTAATGTATCCATAAAATTGAATAAGCTGTAACTAATAAGTTATATTTCAATTTGGAAGTCTTCTTGCATACGTATGTTAGATAATTGCTGTTAGCTATTCAATCGCAGACGCTTTTGTTCAGAATATTTTCAGTATTATCCTTTAAATTCTAATTTGATAATGATTTCTTTAATTTTTTAACGTTATATACGTATAAATTTATCAGAACTAATATGTATTGGTTAGTTAGATAATATCAGCTCTTTATCTTTTATTGCAAATATGAAATGGTCTAATCTAAATCTATAAACATAAACGTCTAAGTAGTTTAGTGAGAGAAGCATTGTTTAAGGACGTTGTAATCTTTAAATCATTTTAAACTTTATAAGAACGAAAAACTTTAATTTTGTCTACTAATGTCGGTCAGTGGATAATCCTTAGTAGCTTACTAGTTGTCCCCACTACTACTTGCGTAATCCCACGAATTCTCAACTACTGTATAATCGACCATGGAAATGAAAATCAATCATTTAGTAGTTGACAATCTGTACGAACATATTAGGCGCACGTTTGTTTTGACTTGTCTAAAATATTGTTTTGGAGAATGGAGTCGAAGGGAAAGATGTGTCAAAAGATGGAATTAAAAAGCCTCTGCAAATGTGATAAATGTAAAATTAAAAAAGTTGACAAGTGGCTCCGTAAGAAACGGCCATCTCTCTTTCCGATGTGCTATCAATTTAGGAAGGCATATTTCGATAATGACCAACCTATCCTGGGGCAACTGCAAGTATTCTTCGAGCATAAGCGTTGTCTCTGCTGCGGTTATACTCTCTTGCACTTGGCCGTCAATGTTGGCTCCAGAGACTTAGTCAAATACTACCTTAGCAGGTACACATATAAATTGATTATTCACTCAGTAAATGTTTTTATTAGCCATCTGAAGAACTCGTATGGTTTTATTGTACCTTCGATGTTATTCGTAATAAGTCCGAAAAGAATTCATAAAATTATTATAGGCAAATTATTATCGTTTGTATGGTAGAAATCGGTTCAAATAAGCGAGAGTCGTTCTTGCGAATTGAAATAACTCAGCTATAATTTATGATTTACAGAAAGCATGACGTAGAGGTGAGGACCGACAATGGAGAAACGGCGCTGCATTTGGCTTGTGCCGTCGATGATTCGTGGTTCGTGGAGCAGCTGCTCATTGCCAAAGCTGACGTACAGACCACAGACAATCTCGGCTGCACACCGTTGCAGATCTGCCTGAGCCACGATAAGCCATCGGCAGCTACCTTGAAAGTGCTCTTCGACTATGGCGCTAGACCTAACAGACTTTTCAATGTTGGCAACGATCCTGAAGAATCGATTGCTATGGTGGTCAAAGCCAATGCGAGACATTCTTGTGGAGTATTGCCACTCTATGAAGCTGTGTACAAGGGTAATCACAACGTCGCTCGACAGTTGCTCCAGAATGGCGCCTGTCCTAATAGTCTCAACTGCTACCAACGTAGTTTGCTGCAGGTGGCCTGTTTTAACAATTCGGTTGGGTGCGCGGAGGCTCTCGTCCATGCTGGTGCTAATGTAAGTATCTTATATTGTATCAGTATATTGTATTATATAACTCCTTCCCCTCTCTATTCACTTTTCAAGAAAGCATATATTTGTCAATAAATTGTCATTGTCTAATAATTCTACAGTAATTTAGGGAACGTTGTGAACTTTTTTAATGCTACGCAAGTAATTTCATTCAAACTAATATCGTCGTTAAATTGATAAATTGTTATACAGTTAGTAGTTATTCAATTAAGGTCCGAAGAGAATCAACATTAAACGATCCTTCTCTACTCCTTTGCAACAATTAATAATTTATCCGTTTAATGAAATATCAATTTGAATCAGCTTACATATCATGTAAAATAATTGATTTTACAACGTTCTCGTGGTTGTTCGAGAGTTATACGATGGCTATTTATTATCAAGTATACAATGCAAGGAACAATTAACACCCACTCGCCCGTGAGATTTTACCTCTATTCTAAATAAATTACTTCTATTTTTTATTAAAAGCCAATTATGTCATTAGTCAGATACAATTATTACTTCGTGCGTATTCGGCTATGGCTAACAACTGTGATCCCTGATGCGTTTGAGACTGATATCAGCGAAGTTTTTTTTAATGTTTTTTTACGAATCGTTTTCTAAAAAGATGTTGAATTGTTATATTTTTTCAGGTGAACGAGTCAGATTTGGAAGGAAGGACAGCATTACATTACGCAATCATCAGCGAAAGTACGGAGATCGTGGAGCTGTTGTTGGCCAACAATTGCGATTTGTGGGCGAGAGACTCGGACGGTTATACGGCCTTTGGAATGGCCGCACTGACGAACCGCTTGCAAGTATCGGATCAACTGCTAAATCACGGCGCCTGGTGTACTGAGGTATTGCTTATGGAGGTTCTCGAGCGTCAATGCAGTGAGGTAGCTCTTTTGATACTTCGTCGAGGCAACTTTAGAGTTCATGATACCAAGTTTGGCCAAACGCTTCTGTACTGCGCTATAGCCACGGGACAGCAAGAACTTGTGTGTTATCTTGAAAGTTTGGGTGTTAAAGTAACGTACGATGGATCTGATGATGAAGAAGAGAATCTTCCGATTGTTTCATCCTACGCACATTCGCTCACAAAGACTACGCTGTCGACTCGGTTAGTTTCGAATAATCTTGTCGCTTATCGGTCGACGGAATATCCAACTAGAAACATAGTCGATCCGCGATATTCATGTTCAGCGCCAAAGACAATAATGCCCGTTACTTTTGTTCCGAGTAAACTTGTTTCTCATCGTACAACCGATCGTTCGATCAAAAAGATAGGTAACAATAATACAGGTGAAATGAAGAGAAACTGTACTTATATTCTACGTCCTCATAATACGACGCTGAATACTGCTCTTCACAGCAAACAATCTAAGTACGCTCAGATTGTCGATCATTGTTCGAATTCCAAATTATTTACTCGTCAACGAAGCGGAATTACAAGATCAACATTCTGCAATGCATTTCAACAGAACGCGCGCGGCCATGAAAAAAGAACACCAAGAAAACGTATCGTTTCGGGTGATTGCATCACAGTATTGCCTGATAAGGAAGTATCATCCAAATGTGGCAATGCGGCAACTCAATACAATTCTACTAAAATGTCTTCACTTAAATCTGACTCTACTAAAATACCTTTATGGAAAACCAACTCTACCGTGAGGCCTAATATGAAGTTGTTCCTTAAATCTACCCCAACAAAATCGTTAAAGCCGCGAAAGAGTGAAAATGTCAATTCTATCTTTCATTTTTACTGTCAGAAAAAATTAAAGTCCAAATTAACTAGGTACGAAAGCGTTTGCTTATAACCTGCTAGTTAGGACGAAAAAGTGAAGAATAGTACCCAATGTTGACACTTTATCTAAATTTTACAAATATTATATTCAGTATAAATAATTATTACTGAGATATTCATTTTATTTTTTATGACACTTATATTTAAATTACGTAATTGACAAGAATAAATATATTTTTTAATTTATATATGTACATACATATTTTTTTAGTTAAATGTATATAACGTTGATTAGCTTATACTTTTTTGTTTTTTTTTATGGATATAGACTGTATTAATCAAAGCTATTGTATGTTGACCTAAAGATTCAAATATGAAGATGTTTTTTCCTTTAATTTATTTTATTTTACTTTTCTGACTCCCGATAAACTTTACCAGAAAATCATATTCATTTCAATTTCCAAAACATATTCCGTTAAAAATAATTTACACATAAAATTATAATAAATAGTTCATCAGTTAGTAACATTTGCTAACAATTATTCACAAGTTATAATTATTTATTAACATCAGATTTTCGACACGTATAACAATTATAAAGAGTTATCAATTATCATTGTTAAATTATAACAGTTTTTTCAGTTATTAATGATTATTTGCATTTTTAGTTACCATGTCAAATTTATTTTAAGAAATAATAGATGCAAAAAACTATAAATAACTGCAAATAACAGCTATCACAAATTAGCTATTGGAATAAAAAATTAGTAACTATTATTTGCAGTTAATTGTAATTATTCATTTGACAATACCGGACACGAAAAAGGTAAATAGGCAAAAAAAATTTAATGATAATAGCAATATATACGTTTGAAATAATTCTTAATTACCACATACGATAACTAACTACTTATTACAGTTGTGAATAATTATTTACATTTCTGAAATTGATTTAAAAACTATTCATAACTGTTATGCGTGTTAAAAATCTGACATTTCTACACATTTATAAACTATTTTAAACTACAAATAATTACGTCCCCTTGGAAATGAAGGTAAGAATTTCGGTCATAATTCGCATATATATGTACAAAATTTGAACGAAATGTATACAAAACACGTACGTAATTTATATATAATATGTATGTATTATGTACATATTTATTCCGAAATTTATATACGCAATACGTACATATATCGTATTTATTATGTGTAAAATACGCACATATTTTGTAAATATTTTGTAAGTTTTGTCTGTGAAATAGTTATATATTACATGATTACCATATACAAAAATATATGAATAATACCATATAAAAAATATGTTAAATTATAATTCAAAATTTTAAATGTAATCAGAATGTAAAACATAACTGAAAAAAATCTATTTATGTCAGGGTAAAAGGAAAATCAATTAACCATTATTCCATGAAACATTATTTAGAACACTCTATTCATCAATATTTAATAAATATATTCAAAAATTACAATTAAACAAACTAATGAGATTATTATTTCATAAAATTATAATGTCTGGTAATAACTGTAAAAACTTAGATCTACAAAGTAAAATAAAAATAAATAAGATAACGAAAGTTACATTCATTAATCAAAAGTCATTAAGGATACATAAGTTTTATGTAATAACCTTAGTTTTATCTTTTTCTGATATTTTATTGAATTGATAGCTTATTTTGTTGGGATAGAATTCTTCGTATGTTTGCTAATGATGTAATCATTTCTATAGACTTATCTTCGAGTAGATGTCGGGTTTTTACACAAACCCAGAATTTCAAAATTTAAAAAATAAAGAAAAACGTAAGGTTTTATTTTTATCGAAGGATTAGAATGAAAGGTAAACTAAAAAATATCAATTATAAAAATGATAACTTACTTTTAATTTATGTTAATTCATTATTACTAATTTTTTTCTTTTCTTCCCATCAACAACTCTCATAAATGATTTTCTTTGTAAATATCGTTCAAATATTTTTTTTCAAATACAGATCTAGACAGTTGTTCTATAAATAACGTTTCACCAAAATATTCATTTTTTTATATTTTGCCATGATGTTGATGGGATATTCAGAGAATTCAAATTATTCAAATTATTCAAATGATGTAACTATTAGTGTTGTCCTGGCAATTTTTCTAGTAACTTCTCTTAGATCTGTAAACAGTATTTTCCACATGTTAATAGCAGTATTGTAAGAGAGGTAGTGTTGCATGGTAGTCAACTAGTTCATTACCTAAGATACCTTTGTGCCAAGGGATCCAGTAGAATTTCATTAGATTTTTATTTGTTTTGTTTATAGAGATTATAATTTTACTTTTAAGTTTGTACAAGTAAGCATTACTGAATTTATGAAAGTCTACCGACTCACTTAACGCTACTGCGTTATTAAGTATTTATCTTCTAATACACATAGAACAGAATATAAATAATAACTATAAAGTAATGCATTTTCATGTTGTTTTAGAAGATTATATAATTTAACCATATATAAACAATTTCAATTTTTTAATCCATCTATCCAAGTCACAGTAAAAACTTTTCAATGAAACAACTACTTTGCTAAGTAGCAACGTTTAGATAATAATGCTATCCTCTTTAGTTATTCTTTAGTTAGGGAATTTGGTTATTGGAATCAATATATTGCATATATTTAAACCATAATTTACGAAGAAAATTTTTAGGTACATTGGTGTTCATAACATTTTATCGTTTATTTTTGTATTATTTTGTTACGTCTCAAGACGTATCTTTACTCATTTACATTCTTTAAAAGTGCAATCCCGAATTTCGTAAAATCAAAACTATATACACGTCCACCAGAAAACGATACAGCAGCAAAACACAAAGACCATACTCAGCATTACACAACACACAATGAACTCAAAAAGAAAATTACTCAACTACACAAGAAACATCAGCGATTTATTAAGCACAAATTTATGTATATAAGACGAACCACCCGAAAGGTGAGCAGAAATTATCTTTACTCCGTACACACCGGTCCGACAATTGGTGATCATTTTTCTTAATAAACTCGCGACTGTTACAAGTAATATCGTGCAAGTATTATTCAAACCTATCCTATTCAATTCAACAAGCAGTTAGAGCCTGCTACATTTATTCAATTCAACAAGCAGTTAGAGCCTGCTACATTTATTCAATTCAACAAGCAGTTAGAGCCTGCTACATTTATTCAATTCAACAAGCAGTTAGAGCCTGTTACATTTTATCGACAATTAAAGGTAGTACAATCATCAGACATACATTTCCACATATATTTATAAGTAAAACATATCCGACCACTAGTCAACATATTGGAACGTCTCATTCATTAGCTATTCGTAGTTGATGCACGAGACGTAACAATTTGTCAAATAATTTTTCTTCGTCTTCGATATCAACATACGACTTTTCTAGATAGTTTACGTGACAAAAACGACTCCATATTTAATACTAGTACCATTCTTGAAAGGACTAGAAAAACAATTTGTACAAATTGATGCCATATATTCGGACAGTAACAATAAATCACGAGCAACTTCTGCAACAAAGTCTTCTCGATTAAATTTCATATATATTTTCTTTCCACGTATTATAAAATAAATATAATACATTACGTAAAGGCCACAACTGTGTCCATAATCACTAGGTTGATATGGTCTCTTGTTGACATCAATAATCGTAAATTCATTTTTACAAAACGCAGCAAAACTCGATGAAAGACTGCAAACCTCGAGAAAATTCTTAAAAGCTATAATAAATCTCTCTTGATAATTACCACTTTTATATGGATCCAATAATGTTAAAGTATTGTTTTTTGTATTTATAAACAACAAAACGCCAATGTCCAAAATACCTATAGGGCATGGGAACTTCTTCACCGAGAGAAATTTGCGTATGACAGATTTTACGACTTTTATCGATTCTCTTGTACGATTGATCTCCTAATATCATATCATCAGTATCATCAGTAGGTACGTATGTACATTCGATTCGACTATTGAAGTTTAATGCAATAGACATAGCCATATAGGCATCAATGATTAAAACCATCAATCCAACTTATTCCATTTACAGATGAAAATTCTTTTGCCGCGATTTGAATTAAATTAGAAGACAATGTTGCTGTCGATTTTATTGTAACGACTGAAACTGTTGAAGATTTTGACCTAATACGTTGGCTCTTTGAAATTATTATTAGAAAATTTATTTAACTGATATAAGAATCACTATGATATTGATTTATGAACTGTATACTTTTCGATCTTTTCGAATATTGAAAGAATCATTTGTGGCTGTTATCATTTTTCGTTTGCGTGGTTCATTTTTACTAAACTTCACCACATGCTTCTCCAAATTATTTATAAACAACAGATTTTCGTTCATTTGTAATTTCGTTTAAATTGTATATATTAGATTCTGGTTTGCTTATTTAAAAATCCATCGTTTCCTGGCAGTTATATTTACTCGATTTGTCTAGCTCAGACGCAGTACTATTATGAATAATGATAGTTTCTTTTTTCTCTGTTCCACTATTCCGTGTATTTTGTTCTTTAACAATTTCATTTCTATATTTTCATCAGCCATGTTCACAAATTGATTTTTCACACTTTTTTCTTTCGATTCAGTTTTATGAAGCAATTCATTCTCTTTAGATGTAGAACATTTCAATGTAAATGCATTATCATCAATTTTTTCATCTAATTTATTTACTTTAATGCCGATTGTTGGTGCTTTTTGATGAGTTTTCTTTTCTTTCTTTTTGTGTTGGACTTTTACTAGTGCTGATGACTTTCTACACCATTCCACAGCAAGTTTCAGATTAGAAATCACTTCTGGATATTTGGTTTTCAAACTGGATGATTTAGTCTCTTTTATTGTTATGCCTAACCTAATTAAACAAGCTTTATTTATTTTCCTTTCTATCTTTATCTAGTATACGATAAAATCGTCAATGCACGACTTAGTATTTTTTCGTAGTAACTTTTCTTTCAACAACTTCGTTAAACTTTCAATGTAGGCATAACTTATTCTTGATACATTTTTATCGATAAGAATGAAATCGAGCCCGCTCCATAACACTATATAAGGCATCCAGAATTCAAGAATATGTTCGAAAAATCCAGAAGCATAATAATTATTTAATATTATTTTTTCCATTACTGCTAGGTGCTCCTATAAACGGATTGATAAATATTATTATAATGATAAAAAAGAGATTTTTTATATATTGTGGTACTACTTTCACTGGTAATATTTTCAAAGTCTTGATTAATATTTTCAGTTGTAGTGACTTCTTCAAAAATTTCATGATTTGGAAGCGACGTGACATTCTTTTTTTAAAACGACTTTATAACTCTAAAACTATCGTTAGTG